GAGTCCCTCTATCCATGATGCAGTGGAGTTGAACTTCCTTTACCCCTCCATGAGGCGAACTCTTTCTTGCTTTGTTACCATTGCATATGCCGTCCCGTCTGCCTATCTCACTCCTCTTGCCCTGCTTTCCTGGGGTTAACCCCTACCTGTCTTCTCTAGCCTTTGGACCTCTACTTAGGCTTCATTTCCACCAGAAAACCTCCTCTCATCCCTGCCAGCCCGAGTCTTAAGGAGAGAGCTCCTCCTGGGCACCATAACACGTTGTACTAAGGATCTACAAAATGCTCATAGAAGGTGCATACTATGGAAAAACTATGCGTGGATTTCAAAAAACTTTTGCACCAAATGAACTTGTACTTCAGTTTAATCTTTTTCCATGAAGTTTTTGAGGTTCCCCTCGTATTATAATTACGTGTTTACTAGCCTGTCTTCCATACCAGCCTCTGTGAAGGCAGGGGCAACATCATTGCTCTATCTACAGTAATAGAGTGGTCCCTGGCATAGAGAAGGGGCTCACCACTTGTGAGTTATTGTTGTTATTATTAACTATCTGGGCAACCCTGGACTGTAAGCATCAAGGGCAAAAGGAGAAGAGAATTGGGGCCAGCCAGGCAGTTACTCAGTTCTAGCCACACGACAGAATCGCCCATGTTGCTTCATAGAACTACCGGTGTGCAGGCAAGATTCCAGAGATTCCGATGCTATTGGCCTGAGGTGGGCCTGGGCAGGTGTCATTTTTAAGTCTTCTGAGATAGTCTCTCCTGCAGCGGGGCTAGAAGCCCTGGGCAAGATCTAAGCCAGAGCATAAGGTCTCAGTTCAGTGGATTCTTGCTGACTGACAATGCTCCTCTTTTGCTAGTGGAAGGACTGGGTCCCCAAATATTTACCTTTGCCCCAGCTTCCCTTCCTCAGGATATGTTTGCTTGGTCTGATGACCAGTGGTTACTCTCCCCACTGTATAGACCCTCCCCACAGAGCCAGTCTGGCAGCCTCCCTGTCCGCTCTGTGGGGATCCAGCCAGCCCCAGAAGGAGGAGCAGGAGCTGGGGTCTAACCCAGCAGCCTAGCTCATTGGTCTTCTGCCAGACTGGCCTCAGGAAGTTCAGTTGGTTTGGCAAATATTTGCTGAGCACCCAGGCTAGGCCAAGTACTTAGCTGATGGCTGGAGAGACAAAGGTAAATTCGGTAACCAGTCTGGCTGCTGACCAGCCCCAGATCCAGCCTTGGGCTGAGCTCATAGAGGAACTGTGTGGGGAGGAAAAGGGGCATTGGCTGTTGACACTGTTATCCCCGAACCCACCTCCATTGTCACCTAAGCAAAAGAGAAGCCTGCCCCTCGGGGCTGGCAGGTGGTGTAGTTAAGATGCTGAACTCCTACATGGCTGACTGAGGTTTGAGTCCCGGACCTGGTGGCTTGCTTTCTTGTTTCCCTTTCTCTCTCTCTGGTAAAATTAAAAAATAAATAATAACAAATAAAATAAATAAATCTTTAAAAAAATAAAAAGAGAAGCTTAGAACCCCCTAAGAACATCCCCACCCCAGCTATCCACCATGGTTCCTGTGACCCAGTGTGGCCAGAACTGTTACATCAGAATTCTCTTGGAAGCTTGTTTAAAAACACAGCTTCCTGGGCCCTACCTTGGGAATCTGATTCGGCAGGTCTAAAGTGAGACAGTATTCTCCAGTTTTCGGCCAGCTCCCCAAGGGGTTCTAATGTAGCAGGTTACCAATAAGCCCAGCATGTAGCTGTCTCTAAGAACCACAGCAATCTGGGGCCAACGGGTGGCATGGTGGTTAGGGCATTGAATTCCCACATGGCTGGCTACCGTTTGAGTCCTGGACTTGGGGGCTTGAGAATCATACCAGGTGCGTGTGTGTGCATGCCCAAAATTACAGGAGGAGCATAGAGGAGAAAGGATTGCAGCATGGCCACCACCGCCTCGTCCCGCATCCCCCCAACCCAGCAGCGATTTCTCACCACCTCCCCCTTTCTCTGACAAGAACATGCACTCTACAGCAGAAACCTAACAACAGAACCAAAGCAATCCAGTTTCCCCACATGGGTTTAATGTGTGCTGGCAGAAGGTGGTGTGTGGACAGAGCGATGTTTCTGGGGCTCAGGAGACAGCCCTACTTGGCTCTAAGTGGCTCAGTTCATAATCATCGCCCGCATCATTCTTTGAGTGGGGCTGGGAGGCACTGAGAGAGACAATTTGTTCAATCCTCACCCTGGTAAAGCTGACGTCTTCTCCATTTTACAGCCCAGAACAGGTCAAGTGACTTCTCAAGGTCATGGAACAAGAACGACTAAGTGGGGGCTTCTGACTCTGAAGCTGCTCCCAGACCCGGGGGCAGACTAACTTGTGCAACTGCCCCCAGCTCTAGGGCAGGAGGGAATGCGGAAGCACCAGGTGAGGTAAAAGCAAAGCATTCAGCAAGCGCAGAGGAAGAACCCATCGATGCCAGCCGAGGAATGGCCAGGAGCCTCCAAAGGAGCTGGTAGTGTTCGGGCTGGACCTTGGCAGATAATTCGGTTTCAACATTTGGAGAAGGAAGAGGAAGACTACCAGGCAGAGGGGAGTCATCGAGGTAGGGAAAACATAAGAGTCACGACGGCCTGTGGTTTGAGTGGTCTCAGCACAGGGTGTGCAAAGGGACGCGGAGCGATGACACAGGAAAGGCCAGCTGAAGCCTCTGTACTCAGTGGGAACTGAGAAATGGCCGGAACAGTCTGAACGAGGAAATAATGAGGTCAATTTGGCTTTAAGAAGGTAACTGGGGACAGAGGGTTGGGTGGATCACAGAGATGGTAGCTGGGTTAGGAGATGACTAGACTCGGGTAGGCAAGAATCATGAGTCACTCTGCTTCTCTGGGTCAGTTCATTCATCTCTAAAATGGAGATAATTGTCCCTCTCTGACATCTGTCCCAAGCTGTTGTGAAGATGAAAGAAAAAGGGATATGAGAAAAAGTATTGTGAGCCTCAGGGGGACAGAGGGAGGTCTCTGCAGGTAAGAGTCAGAAGTGGGGACTGTGGGCTGTGTGACGTTGATGTGTCCTCACTGGAGACCACAGCGGCATGACTAAGACGCAGGCACATCCGAAGAAGATACCGGGCAGGAGTAGGAGGGTTTCCATTCCCAGGAGGCATGTGCATCGGAACCCAAATGAAGACAGATAGAAAGACCCTTTCACATCTGTCAGAGGTAGGACTGCAAAAGGGGCCCAAGGGACAGAATTCTGTTTCCTAAAGAGTCCTAGGAGAACTGGTCCTGAGTCATCATCTCACAGAGGTTTTGCCTAGCACCAGCTTCTCCATTGTGGAGGTGATTGTGGGAGTCACTGTAGCCTTAATGTCTCGGGGGCTCCTGGGAATGAATGACACGGGTACATCTCAGCCCACATCTCTGACGGTGTCCAGTCCCAATTCCTGCTTCGGCAGGGCTTGCTCCTGCGATGTCCCTGAGAGAATGCCTGCTACCTACCTCCTTCAAGCCCACCCCAGCCCTTGAGTCTTAACCACTCTTCCAACCCAGCTCCACTCTCTGGAACACTGTTTAGCTCAGTGAGTATTCTTAGGCCTCACAACTCTAGGAAGTGGGTTTTTGTGTTTTGTTTTTATTTGTTGTTCATTTGCTAAAAGATTCATGTGTTTACCAGAGACAGACAAATAGGAGAGAGAGAGAGAAAGAGAGAGAGAGAGAACCTTCCCAGGGGTGGGAGAGTGGCCGTGATACAATCCCTTCTCCATTGTCTTCTCAGGATTTTGGGCACGTGCACACACACACATGCCCAGTGTGATTTTCAAGCCGTACCGTCTGGAACGTGAAGAGCCCAGTTGGCTATGTGGCATCCACGCTCTTCAACCACCATGCCACCTCTGGCCCAGGAAGTGAATTTTTCAATCCTAACTTTGCTGATTGAGGAAACGGAGCCCTGAAAGGTTCACAGAACAGATGTATGGAAAAACAAGGATTCAAACTCAGGCCCGGGGTGTGAAGGGCTGGGCTTATCCACACGGCGTCATGCATCTCACAGAGAAGGGCTGAGGCATCTCCGGAGACAACACATCTGGAGGTCAGAACACTAAGAAGCTAGTTATGTAAGAGTATGAGTTGGTGAGCTCATCAGAAAATGCTTTCTGGAGGAGGCAGTGTGAATCTAGAGTCTGGAGGCCTGCCTGGCCTGCCCTGGGCCCATGCTCTGGGCCCAAGCTCTGGGCTTGCTCCATTCCCAAGGGTGCAGCTTTTCCAGAGACATGCTCCTGGCCCAGGCTTGGGTCTGAGCCAGTGAGTCCAGTTTCCTCCTCCTACACAGATTCCTCAGGGTCTCTGGCTTCCTTTCAAACCAGGGCCTCCCAGGGAGGGGGGACAATGACTGAGTGTTGAAGATCAGGGAAGGGTGGAGACGCTGGACACCCAAATGTGTGGGCGTCTGGTCCTCACAGATCTGGAAGAGCACACCCAGTCTAGAGACCTTTCATATCTATATGAGCCACTTGTTCTCAGAACAGACCGATACCAAAGCTATCCTCCACCCCTCAGGCCTCTACTCCCCTGGGCCCTATATGTGGGCCTAACAAGGCAGGGGTGGGTCCAAGAAGTCACAGTGTTCAATGCACACTGGCATTGCAGTGGAAACATCCCCATTTGGTGGAGAGACTACACCTTTGTTTCACATTCGTGAAACCAAAGGTTTCATTCCACCACTTCCCTCAACAAAGGACTGTGGATCCCAGAGGAGCATGACCTTGGCTGTGGGATAACGCACTTTCTTTCCTTTTTTCCCTTTGGTTCTTCTTTTTTTAAATTTAATTTAATTTAATTTAATTTTTTTAAGAGGTTTTTGCTATAGGGTGCATGCGTTTGCCAGAAAGACAGAGAAACAGAAAGCGAGAAATCACTCCCCAGGGGGGATGGCCACGCCGCAATCCCTTCTCCTCCATTCTCCTCGGGATCTTGGGCACGCACACACATATGCCCAGCGTGAGTTTAAGCCACCGGGTCCGGGACTCAAACTGTGGTAGACTACATGGGAGTCCAGTGACAGCCATTATGCCAGCTGCTGGTCCCCAGTTCTTCCTGTTTTTTCAAGCCTTCTCCCAAAGTCATTGTCTAATTCAGGCCCTCCAGCTCTTTCCTGTAGAGCTGACAAAAAAAACCCTGTCTCCTAAGCCCCCCGTCCTCCTGATCACAGCCCATCCCGTTCCCTTCCCGGCCCCAGCCAGAGTTGTCCTATTTACTTTTGCTTTGCTTTTCTTTCTTTCTCTGTATTTTTTTTTTTTTTATCAAAGTTATACATGAGCCTAGATTTCTCAAAGATTTCTACAAAGTTAGTCATGAACAACTGCAGCCCAGATCCATCTCCAGGGGTAACCACTTTCAACTCTTTAAACTGGTGCTTTGGAACATTCCCTTCATATCTCTAAATAACACCTCATATGGTTTCTTCTTGATCTTTGCAGTTTTAGGAATTTTTTTCTTGATTTCCTGCCCTGGGAGAGGAAGAGAACTTTCAGTCCCTGTGTATCATCCCGCCCCCTGCCTCTCTCTTCCCAGTGCAGTAATCCACGGCAATTTTGCTCCTATTCGGTACTGATCTTTCATAACCATGTAAACACTATGACCAGCTGAGCCACATGGTGGACAAGGATGATTTTTATCCTACTTCCTGGACATCTGGGTAGTCACCAACTCATGGGCATAGCCCAGTAATAATTTGGCTCAACTGACCCCAGCCACTGACCTCACCAAACCAAAGCTTAGTTTCTCCTTGAGAATCAGCTGTGGTCGGGCTAGCGGGTAACTTTACCGAGAAGACATGGTCCAGAAAACCACTGTCTTCTTGCTTTGCGTGTCACTGAGAGGCCACTGAATGGCAGCTCTGAGGTGGATTCCAGAGTCAGAATATGCAGGTTTGAACTCGGCCTCTGCTCTTTGTGGCTATGTGACCTTTAGCAAGTTGCATATCCCCTCTGAGCTTGGGTTTCCTCATTCGCAAAACCAAGTTGAAGGATGGAACCACGTACCTCATAGGACTGATGGGCATAAAATGAAGTGGTACATGCAGTGAGCATAGCACATGGAAAGAATGATAAACGGTAGGCAGTATTATTACTACTGGTTAATTATTAGTAGGGGCTCGTTAAGTGAGTACTCCAGAATGAAGAAGCAGCAGCATGTGTCAGAAATGTTCGGGGCTTTCCAAGTGGTTAAGAGTCACAAGCTCCGTCCCCCCAAGAGCCCCCCTGCTCACAGATGGCGCTCGGTTAGTGCCTGAGCACAACGCGGAGCCTCTACCAGGCACTGAAGGACAGCTAGGATCCCCGGATGACAGGGAAAGAAGAGACTGGTCTTCCCCATTCCACCCCACTCCCATTTTCACGGCTTGTCACCCACCTGATTTGGACCCTATCTGGAGCATCGTCCTGCTGTAGGGATGTGTCATACTGATCTCAACTTCCTCTGCTTGTTCCATTTGACCCTTTTCAATTTCTTGTTTATTTGTGTCTATGAGAAGGTTAACTAAGATATAATTTGTGCTAACTGTAAGAAATGCAAACAGTACAGAAGCATATAAAAGTTAAAAATATTTTTCTACCCTAGAGGGGTAGTTTGATGTATTCCCTTCCAGAATTTTCTTTTCTATGCTTTTGTGTGTATGCACGTGTGCACGCATCCATACATGCGTAGAATTAGTACATGCAGTATATTATCTTCAATTACAGTGTGAATATAAGGTATACAGTAATAAAATGAGGTCGTGGCGCACCTTCAATTCTGCAGCTTGCTTTTTCCCACAATAATGTACCATGGACCATGTTCCAGTTGGGTCTAGATTCCTTCGGCAGCATGCTGGGCGTGTTTTGTGGTTTGCTTTCTATTTTTACCCAGACAAGCAATCTTGTGATGAACATGCTCTTGGGCATATCCTTTCGTATTTGTGCTAGTATTTTGTTGACCAGAGACCTAGAACGTAGGATTCTAGAGCAAAGAGAATCATTCCTGAGCTTTCTCTCTGGGCCCTTAATCCCCGGGATGTTCCTGTCCAGCTTCTCTGGGCCCCATCTCCCTTCACCATCCCACCCTGCCTCCCCGGAAGTGTCTAACTGAAGCTAGGCTGAGACAACCGGAATATCTCCTGTGTGGGGGTAGAATCATCCAGCCCTCCTTGTCTACTAGTTCTCGTGGAAAACGAAACCGATTCAGCCACCTGGGCTTTGGGGGTCCACATTCTTGTTTCAGCTCTTGCCCCATCCTGTGTGCCTCCATCTCATAAGACAAAAATGACCACTTTTCCTGCCTTTGGCCTTTTTTTTTGGAGAGGTTTTTGCTATAGGACGCGTGTGCTCGCCAGACAGACAGAGACAGAGAGACAGAAAGCGAGAAATCACCCCCCAGGGGGGATGGCCATGTCACAATCCCTTCTCCTCCATAATCCTCTCAGGATCTTGGGCACGCATGCACACATGCCCGGCATGAGCTTAAGCCACCGGGTCCGGGACACGAACTGCGGTCAACTATATGGGAGTCCAGCGACATAGCCATTACACTAACTGCTGGTCCCCCTTTGGCCTTTCCACAGAGCTCCCACTTCTGTAAAATGAGGAAACCAAACCTGGAGAAGGAAGTGGCCTGCCTAGGGCCCCAGCGGCCGGGTCACACAGAGGAGGTAGGGACAGTAGTGGAGGAGGTGGGGACAGTAGTGGAGAGGTGGAAACAGTTTGCGCAGGTGGGAAGGGGATACTGCACCAGGCTCTTTGCCGGGTTACCTCATTCAGTCCCAGTAGCCACATCATGAGACGGGGGCAGCACTGTCCTCATTCCAGGATGGGGAACCAAGGTGGATCTGGATGTGAAACTATTGGGTTGTCAGAAAAGTCATGAGGCGTTTTTGCATAGAAAAATCTAGAAAAAATACATTATGACCTTTCTGACAACCCAGTAGATCTGACAGACTCCTAAACCTCCTCTGTCCTTCTCTGGACCTCCAAAGTCTGAGCTCTGGGCTGCAGCCCTCAGGTTCGGGAACCCCTGAGGTTGCCAGCATCCACTATAGGTGTTCTTCCCTTTCCCCAGAGCCTGGTTCCAGTGAAGATGCAGACTTGTCCCCCCCGAGGGCCAGAACCCGAAGTGCCTGAGCCAGGCTGCTGGAGGCCTCGGCTCCCCTTCTCACCCCCACACAGGAGGAAGGCCCCTCTGAGCAGTCCGAGGTCCTCTGCCTAAAGGGCTAGACCCAAGGGCAAGTCTACCTGGACTCTCCCATCAGCTCACCTGCAGAGCCATAGGGACTTCTTGGGCAGAGCCTTCCTCTTGGGGATTCCAACCTCCCGCCAAACTGGTTGCCGGGCACTGGGCACTGTCAACAAAACACTCCCCATAGGCCCAGCTCTTGCCAGAGACTGCGAACACAGATCCCCCCAGGGAGCAGCCCCATTACCAAAGCTGCTCAGAGGGAGAAGTGGGGCTAGCTGGGAGTGGCTCCTGCTGCCCCTTCGAACAGTCATCAGGAAATGCCTGTTCCTGACCTTCGAGCCTCTTCCTTCCCTCACACCTTTTGGAAGAGTAGAGTCCAGAGGCACAAGAGGGCCCCTGGGGGAGGCCCGTGTAAGAGTGGGGAGGGCCTGGTGGACACCGAGCCCAGCTTGCACTCAGCTTGAACGCCCAGCTTACCCATTTCTGGCTGTTTCGAGTTAAACCTTCCCGGGCAGGAGGGGCTCCCCTCAAGCTTCACAGCCTCTACTCTTGCGCCGGCTCTTCTGTAGCTTTATAAGCTCTAGTTTTTTCTTAAAATAAACTCACACTCTGATTCTATGTTTCAGAAAACTTCTTTTAATTGCTAGAGGGCATGTGTGCTTACAAGAGAGAGAGAGAGAGAGAGAAAGTGCCCCCCGACAGAGCATTGTCACTTCGCCATCCTTGGTTCACCATTGCTCCTTCCCATCAGGACTTTGGGCACACATGCATATGTGCCCAGCTTGTTTTTCAAGCCACCAGGGCTGGGATTCGAACATCCCATTGCACCGTGCTAATCACTGTACTACGGGCTGGCCTAGCATTTTTTTCTTGATAATAAAAACAGAATAGTTTCATGGGCCAACTGTGTAGCACAACGGTTAGGTGCTATGTAGTAGGAGTTGGATCCCACATGGCTGGTTGTGGTTTGAATCCCAGCCCTGGCAGTAACAAGCTGCTGCATATGTGTGATGTATAGGATCCTGACAGGCTGGAGATTTGGCAGTAAAAGGATTGTTTTGTGACCAGGCCCCCTTGGGGGGGGTTCTCCCCCCCACCCCACCCCCATTCAACGAGCACACAAACCCTATGGCATTTTAAAAAAGAGAAAGCAGAGGAGACCAGCAGATGGTGTAATGGTTACGTTGCTGGACTCGCATGTAGTCAACCACAGTTCAAGTCCCAGACCTGGAGGCTTCAAACTCACGCAGGGCACATGTGCATGCATGCCCAATATCCCGAGAGGAGAATAGAGGAGAAGAGATTGTGGCCTGGCCATCCCCCTGGGGGGTGATTTTTTGTTTTCTGTCTCTCTCTGTCTCTCTTAGCATACACACCCTATAGCAAAAATCTCTCTCTAATAAAAAAAATAAGAGAGAGAGAGAGAAAGCAGAAGAGGCTCATTAGTGAAAACATATTACAGGCCTGGATGGTGGTGCAGTGGTAAGATGTACCCTCTGTGAAGCAGACCCACATGGGAAGGTTACTGGTTCTGTCCAGAGGCCTCCCTCTGAGTAGACTAAGCATGTGTGTGCCCATGATCTGGGGCTGCCTGAGGCTAGGGGTGGGTGCTGTCAGGGTGCTGTCTCTGTCTCTTTTTCGCTTCCTCTGTCTGTCTCACTCGTGGAATAATAAACTTTGAGAAACCAACAGGGCCAGTTGATGGCATGGTGCTTAAGGTGGCTGGATCCCACATGGCCAACTGTGCCGTTCAAGTCAAGACCCTCAAAAATATACTGCGTCTGTATGTGCATGCCCAAAATCCCAAAAGAAGAAATGGAGGGGAAGGAATTGTGGTGTGACCATCCCCCATGGAGAGTGCTTCCTCACCACTCCCTACCTATCTCTGGCAAGCACATGAATCCTCTAGCTAATGAAAAACAACAACCCGACATATTACAGAAATGTTTAAAGTGGAGGATAAAAGCCAGCCCTCATCCCCGTTCTAGACATATATTGTGTTACAGACTCAAACAACCCAAACCCACCTGCAGCTTGTATCTTCAAGGCGATTTCTTAGAAACTCAGGCAATCATGTCATTTTGGTGTTTGCTCTCAGATAAAGCGCACTCTCTTTATCCTAGTGGTGGGCCCCGGCATCTCTGTTCCTGTAATAAGCCTGTCCCTCCCGGCCACACGGCCTTTCCTTCAGGACTTGTCTCTCCCTCCCTACTCTCCTTCTACCTTTGCATGGGCGGATCCAGCCCGCCTACAACACTATTCACCTGGTGAACCTATGCTCCTCTTTCACATCCCAAGGTACCTATTCTGAGAGGCTGTCTGACCTTCCTGCCCATGGAAAAGCCTGCTCCCTTCTCTCACTGCTGCAGTTTTAAACCGATGCCTAACCATTCAGTGGTCTTGCTTTCCAAGACTCTCCAATCCAAACCGAACAAGGAGTGCAGAGATCTGTTTTACTCACTGCTCCGTGCCCATGTCTGGCCCACGGTGGAGGCTCATTTGTTGGGTGAGTGGACTTAGTAAGCACTATTATCTGATTGCTTATGTGGGCCAGCACAGTCTTCAACATGGAGAACTTGGAATTATCAAACAAGGGCAGGTTCTCAGAGGCTGGGGCTAGTAGACCCAGGATGAGGCAGGCAGGCTTTGGGTAAGCTCTAGAATATCACTTCAAAGAGCTACAAGGATATGGGTTTTGAGATCCCTTTTTGATGTTAAGTAATTGTCCAATTATATTCTCTACTTTTTCTGTTAACACGGGACGCTGGACAGAGGGGCCTTTGCTTCTGCTTCTCTTCACTCCAACCCTACCCCCTCTCCCATCATCTTCTTAGCAAGGTCAAAAGTCTATAGAGAGTATATTAGAAGGAAGGATGGATCTTTGGGTGGATGGATGGGTGACTACATGGATGAAAGGAAGGATGAATGGATAGCTTGGTCAGATGGATGCACTGCATAGATGATTAGATAGAGGGCTGGATGAATGGATGGATGATTAGATGAATGGATGGATAGATGGATGGATGGATGGATGGATGGATGGATGGATGGATGGATGGGTGATTAGATGAATGGATGGATAGATGGATGGATGGGTGATTAGATGAATGGATGGATAGATGGATGGATGGATGGATGGATGGGTGACTGCATGCATGGAGAAATAGATGAAAGAACTAGGAAAAAAAGGGGGGTCCTCAGAAATCTCGTATTCACAATCTAATAAGAGGACATTTATTTATTTATCTATTTATTTGTTGTGATTTTCAAGCCACTGGGTTTGAGACTTGAACCACAGTCAGCCATATGGGAATCCAGCACCTTAACCACCATGCCACCTGTTGGCCCCCAGAATCTGAGTTTTTAAAAATTTGCCAGAGGACACATGCACTTGCCAGAGAGAGACAGAGAGCAAGAGGGAGAGAGCATCCCCCATGGGGAATGGTCACATTGCACTTCTCCATTTCTCCCTCTCTTTGAGATTTTGAGTGTGCGCATGCACACACACACTGCATGTTTTTCAAGCTACCAGATCTGGGATTCAGTTCATATGGTTGACCGTGTGGGATCCAGCTCCCTTAACCACTAAACTATGGGCTGGCCCACACTCTGATTTTTAAATGAAGAAATGTTAAAAATGAAGTCTAAGAGAGGTGGAGACAAGTCTGGTCACTTCCTCTCTTGGAGAACTTGTATGGATTTCTTCTCCTTGGTCTATAAACATTGGTATACCCTCCAGCCCAAACAAAACAAAGCATCTCTTTCCTTTTTCTCTGTGACCTTTCTTCTGAACCAGGATTCCCCCTTTCCTTTCCTTATTAAGCTTCTTGAAAGACTTGTACAATCCACCAACCAACTTCCTCATCTTCCACCACCGCTTGGCCTCTTAGCTTCTGTCTTTGGTCCACGGCACCATGGCAACAGCTCTAACATTGCCACTCCCTGGAGACCTTCTAGGCCTCAAGTTCTTCCTCAGTCCTAGCCAGTGACTGGCACTATTGCTAAAACGTCCTTCCTGAAATGCCCAGGCACTGCATCCAGGGGTGTCACTCTCTGTCCAGAAGCCTGCTCTCTTCTAGAACCTTTGATGGGGTCTCCTTCTCCCAGCATCTTCTACCACAGTACTATCCTCAGCCCTTTCTTGCCCTCATTTTGTATCATCATTTTGTATTTCATATCTCTGAACGTTACAACTGCCCTCTGTATGCCAGGCACCACGCCGGGCTTTTACCTATTGATACATCACCTCGAGTACTCCTCATATTGCCCCACTTATGCAGATGTATTAGTGTCACTGTACTTCATAGGTAGAGAAGCCAAGAAACCCAGTAAGGCTAAGTAAATTGCTCAAAGCCACATAGTTAGTATGTGGTATCTTTGGGATTTGACCAACAACTTGCTATTTCCAAGCACATGCTCTCAGCTGCAAAGCCACACCTTTCTCTTAGCCATCCCGCTTACTCAGACCTCGCAACTCTTCTTACAACTCCCAAATTAGTATCTTCGGAGGTGACGTCCCTCTGGAACTCCAAACTTGATCTTCCAAAGTCCTGATTAAGTTTTTTCTTAGATAGCCCTCCAGAATCTCAAAACCAGACTCCTAAGATTTCTTGCCAGGCAGGTCTTAGCAGACCTGTGATCAAACACCTACACTGGCTCCCCAGTACCCATTGGTATGGGGCAAACTCTTCCCTGGCACCCTCAGCTCACCTACAATGCCACCCCACCTCTTGTCCCTGTCCCTATCTGCCATGATGTCCCTCCTTTCTTCTCCTAGTTCTGGTTTCCACCCCCATTGTGAAAGAGTCCAGAGCTCCGTGCAGCTCCACCTCTGCTCAAAGAGGACTCCTTGCCACTCCGGAATGCCTTCATTAATGCCCCTCGTTACCCCCAGGAATCCTTTATATATAAAAAATAGACAGCAAATATCCTGAACGTCAGCAGTGCCAACCTCTGGGTGAAGGGGTTCCAGGTGACTTTTATTCTCACATCTGTTTAGTGTTTTCCAAACTTCCTATAATATGCATATTTTCTTCTCTATAATCAGAACTTGTTAAAATAATTTCAAAAGTATTAATCACCTACCCTGCCCTTTCCTTTTTCCCATTTATTTATTTATTTATTTAACAATTAAAGTATGAATTTATTT